TTTGTTTGCCATTGTGTAATCCTCCTGTAAGTAGCAGTACAACCCAGAAGTGAAAGACTTCGTGTGTCCCTCAGTGGACAAGAAAGAAAAGGATTTTTTTTTAATCATAACCTGAGCTAGACAGGCACTTAGAGATTAATGGTAATGTGGCTCCAGGTGGGTATACGGAATAATAAACCCCTGGGGGGAAAGATGAGGTTGATGTGATGAGAATAAAATTGCATTGCAGCAGGCTCCGTCAGTTCCCATCTATCAATTTCCTCACATTGGGAAGCAGCACGGAGCTGCAGGCCCACACGCTATATATAGAGATCTTTGCTGCTACATTTTGTACTTGTCCCATTTGTAGGAGAGAGGCAAGCATAGCTATTCTGCACAAAGCAAGGGAACCTGCTAACCAGCATTCTAATAGCAGACTTACTAATAAGGCTTTGAGCACCAGGAGGAAACCTGGGAACCACAGCAAATGTCATGCAGAGCAGATGAACCCAGGACCTGAGTAGTGAAATCCAAAACTACCAACCACTCAGCCACTATGCTGTGCTCATCATGCAAGTGGTGATTTTTAGTCGAAAAATAACAGTGTGGAACAAACGGTCCACATCAATCTTCTGTACAGGGTTTCAAATGTTTCCTGGTTTTCAGTGAACAAATGATTAGGTGGAAATCAATTGTAAATGCCTTTCGACTGGCATTACAGTGGTTTCAATCAATTTTCAATGCAGTATTGAATGTCTGGTCATTCGAAACTGGGAAATGATCGATGCTGTGGCTGGCAGATTGCCATGGACCTTTTAATTCACTGTGTTTCTTTTTTTTTCTTTTAATTGAAAGCTGATAAAAAAGTTTCCAAATTTGCTAAAGTATGGCCAGCATTAGCATCCAATACCATCACCAAGTATAGTTTTTTTCATACCCCAGTAATGCAGAAGGTTGAAGCCTGATAACTCACCTGTGACCTTTAGGATTTACACAAACTGTTTACACTTTTTTTTACCATTATTAAATAAATCTAGTGGTTCAATTTCTAGTTAAAGATGACCTATAGGAGGGAATTCAATAAAGCCGATGCGCCACTTTTCTGGCATCCCTCTTGTGAATGTATTACGCTAAATTCATGAAGCATCTGCAACACTTTTGGCTCTATTAGCACCAAATTTATGTAGTTCTAAAATGCACTTTTCCATTGTGGAGCATTGAATGCACCATTATTATATTGTGACACATTGAATGTGCCAAGTTCACAATAAAATCCTGCATGCTTGTATTTTATGAAAGTGAAGCTTTTGGCATACAGAGAGAAAAAATGGCGCAGACAGATTTTGCAAAACTGTCTCATGTGAATTCTAAAAGTGGTGCAGCATGTGACAAATTCAAATACAGGTGAGTGGCTGTTTTTGTAGATGCTGACTTTTATTATTTTTTAGAGTGTGACTGGAACTCGCTTTAAACAGGGGCACACAGAGCAAAAAAAAAAAACCTGACATATTCATTCTACTCCATTGTATCTATAACTGGGAAAAAATCTTTACCTTTAATTATACTTTAAAACTGGCCCAATCTGTATGGAATTGGATCAAATGATTGGTATCCTTTCACAGTCTACCTGATTACTTGTTTTTACAAGGTAATCAAATTCTTGATCAATTATGTATTGTATCTGATTCTGAACTATGGAAATAAAATTGTATTGTCACTTTATCTATCAGTGTACTATGACAGTATTATGCACTCTTTTCAACAACTGCAAAAAAGAGCTGCCTCTTATTTGCTTTTACATATTCCTACAACTTCACCATGGCCTAGAGGTTCAGTTTGAAAACCAAAAACATGCTTATATCCAAATACTATTTTAATAGCCATTATAAAAGTAAAAGGTCCAAAAGGATTAGTTTATACTCTATTTTCCCACTTGCTGCACACCAAACTGATCAAGTCTTCTCTTGCAGTTAGAAGAAAATGGTGGCTCCTTGTGCCCAATGTGTCTACAGAAGAAAGGGATGATATGCTAGTGTCACTAGCAATAAATAACACTGACTCAGTTTTATATTATACACCAAACCGCTCTATCTCCTATTGGATTGCATAAAATGGGATGTATGTCCACTTGTAACATGTTGAGTTGTACCCATACTAGGGGTGATTTTGTCCACGTTGTTTGCAGTTACACAGTTATATCTGACTTTTAGAAGCAAGTAGTCAATTTTCTAGCTACCACATTACAATTCCATATCCCTTGCATGCCTGGAATATGCCCATTTGTTTTATTGAATGAAGAGCGCTGGCCTCATTACAGGATAATATTCCTACACGAATCATTATTTATGGCCCATAAAGCTATTGTTATCAGATAGATGAATACATGTCCTCCTTGCGTGTGGAAGTTCTTGATTAATAGGATCATTCTATTATATGCGGAAGGAGAAACTATCCCCCTAAGTTCAATAAAATTTGAGATCTGTGGTGTGAATCCACACATAAAATAACTGCTCAACAGAGATGGTCAGTGCTACTTTTCCTTTTAATCTTGTTTATGCTGATTCTCCTTTTATGTGCCAAACTTTTATTTCGAAAGCAACATATGCCGGACTCGTGTATATTTCTAATCTTGTACAACTTTTTGAGATAAACAAAACAATTAAAAATAAATAAATATTACACACACCTCAAAAAAACTAAAAGAACACTTTGAAAACACATCAGATCTCAATGGGGGAAAATATCATGCTGGACATTTACAGTATACTGTTATGGACTGGGTAATGTGTTAGGAACGTAAGGATGCCCCATCGTTTGATGGAAATGAAAATTATCCACCTACAGAAGACTGAATTCAAAGATACCCCGAAAATCAAAGTGAAAAAATGATGCAGCAGGCTAGTCCATTTTGCTGAAATTTCATTGCAGCAACTCAAAATGGTACTCAGTAGTTTGTAAGGCCCCCAAGTACTTGTATGCATGCTTGACAACATCGGGGCATGCTCCTAATGAGACGACAGATGATATCCTGGGGTATTACCTTCTAGGTCTGGACCAGGGCATCACTGAGTTCCTGGACAGTCTGAGGTGCAATCTGGCAGTGTCAGATGGACCAAAACATGAGGTGTTCTATTGGATTTTGGTCAGGCGAGCGTGGGGGCCATTCAATGGTATCAATTCCTTCATCCTCCAGAAAATGCCTGCATACTCTTGCCACATGGGGCTGGGTATTTTCGTGCACCAGGAAGAACCCAGGACCCACTGCACCAGCGTAGGGTCTGACAATGGGTCCAAGGATTTCATCTCGATACCTAATGGCAGTCAGGGTGCCATTGTCTAGCCTGCAGAGGTCTGTGCGTCCCTCCATGGATATGCCTCCTCAGACCATCACTGACCCACCACCAAAACGGTCATGCTGAACAATGTTACAGGCAGCATAACGTTCTCCATGGCTTCTTCAGACTCTTTCACGTCTGTCACATGTGCTCAGGGTGAACCTGCTCTCGTCTGTGAAAAGAACAGGGTGCCAGTGGCGGACCAGTCAATTCTGGTGATCAATGGCAAATGCCAATCAAGCTCTATGGTACCGGCTAGTAAGCAATTGGCCCACTAAAGGATGTCGGGCTCTCAGGCCACTCTCAAAAAGCCTGTTTCTGATTGTTGGGTGAGAGACATTCACACCAGTGGCCTGCTGGAGGTCATTTTGTAGAGGCTCTGGTAGTACTCATCCTGTTCTTCCTTGCACAAAGAAGCAGATGCCGGTCCTGCTGATGAACCTCTGTAGAGTCCAGGTGTTGCCTCATGCTACCAGTAGTGACATTGACCCTAGCCAAATGCAAACTAGTGAAAAACAGTCAGAAAAGATAAGTAGGAAAAAAATGTCAGTGGCCTCCACCTGTAAAACCATTCCTGTTTTGGGAGTCATCTCATTGTTGCCCATCTAGTGCACCTGTTGTTAATTTAATTAACACCAAAGCAGCTGAAACTGATTAACAACCCCCTCTGCTACTTTTAACTGACCTGATGCTAGACTCTGATTAAAAAGAGTTCCTTGAATTTTCTTGAGCAATATATATATACATACGCACACACACTTATCAATAGAAAGAAGCATCCCCAGTTTTTCCATTAGTTCTAATTAATTTCATGGGCAGCACAGTGGCTAAATGGTTAGCATTTCCGCCTGGCAGTACTAGGGTCATTGGTTCAAATCCCAACCACAGCACCACCTGCCTGGAGTTTGCATGTCCTCCCTATGCCTGCATGGGTTTCCTTGGGGTATTCCGGTTTCCTCTCACAATCCAAAGACATGCTGGTATGTTAACTGGATCCTGTTTAAATTGGCCCTAGTATATGTATGTATGAATGTAAGTTAGGGACCTTCAATTGTATACCCCTTGATGGTTAGGGACTGATGTGAATGTATAATATATATGTAAAGCACTGCGTAAATTAATGGCGCAATATAAGTGCCTGAAATCAATAAATAAATATCATCCTCACCCTCTTTCCCAAGTTCCTCCTATTCTAAAGTGTGAGAGCAGGCTACCAAATCACAGAGCACCAACAACTGAAAATCTGCAAATCAACTAAAATAATCAGCTATTGAGCTTAGAAAAAGAAATGATATTAAAAATAAAATGAACTATACTTACAAAGCCACACACAATAGTTACTTCCTAAATGACTAATAAATATAGAGGACATGATGCTGCTAATGTATATTCTGACAAACGATGCCACAAAATATCACCAAGCTGTACTAACCTATGCTTCATCTTGACACACAATGCAGAATGTATACTTGGATGCACAAGTTCCTTGCCAGAACAATAGAACAAACAGGAAAAGGCCAGCATGGGAAGCATGACATAGCACTCCTAAAAGTTTTTACAGCTAAAATGTCACCTTAAAAATACATTCCACAACTCAGAAATTTGAAGGCTAGACCTGGGAATTCTAAAATCTTCTATGTACATGGAGGGAAATTTACTAAATCTGGAGCACTCAGAATCTGGTGCAGCTGTGCATGCTAGCCAATCAGCTTCTAACTTCTGCATATTCAATTAAAGTGTTACTAAACCCACAACAGTAAAATCAGTCTGTATATGCAGGCCTTTTTTTTTTTTTGCATGGGGGTTTCCCTCAAAATCCATACCAAATCCAAAGGGCTTGGTATGGATTGCGGGGAGAGCACCACGCAGTTTTTTTTTCCTTAATTTTTCATTGCCGGCAATTATTTTTTTTTTCACATTCAGTTGTCAGGAGGGAACCCCGCTGATAGCTGATGCCTCATCGGTTGTTAAGGTCGCAGTAGCTTTGTAGTTACTGGTTGTTAAGGATGCTGGCGGCCACCCGTTCCCTAACAACCAGTGCATACCACATGCTTCAACCACTACTTAAAATGTTACTAAACCCAGGACCCTGCATTCACTATATCTGGTCTCCCACAGTACACAGAACAGGGAAATACATTTATTTTAGTAAATATAAACTGCTAAATAGATTTTCTCATCAGCAGTTAAAGCAGTCTTGTGACTTCTATCAGTGTCCAGCAGAGCACTGGTTAAAGCTTGTAGGAGGTGTTTTCCCTCTCCCCTGATTGTTCTATGAGGCTGCATTACCCCTGACCCTCTGTCTGGACAGCGCTGATTGGCCCTGTGCTGATCACATGCACTTTCTCAAGAAAAGAAAAAAAAAAAAAAAGACTCTAGCAATACACGCCAAACTGAGCATGCGCAGCTTGCCCCCAAGGCTCTGTTCCATCAGTAGATTGATTGGGAACAGCAGTAGAAGGGGAGGATCAGAGAAGACTGGATCAAACATCCTTTTTACACAATGAGGAGGATTAACCTCTTAGGTTCCACAGTGACAAGCATGCTTTAGTGCATATACAGACTGATTTCAATTTTGTGGGTTTAGTAACACTTTGATTACCACATGCATTTAAATTATTTATTTCCTTCTGTGAATTGGCTTTAAAGCGGAGTTCCACTCACTCTGTAAGAAAATAAAAGTCAGCAGCTACAAAAACTGTAGCTGCTGACTTTTAAAAAAACAGCCACTTACCTGTCCAATGATCCCATGTTGCCCCCGCTGCAGCCCGTTTCACTGGCCGTCCTGTATTCCAGGCGCCGGCATCTTCAGTGTGGACACCTGGCTGTTACAGCTTGCGGCTTCACAGCCGGGTGGCCACTGCTCATGCGTGAGTAGCGCTGCAATTCCTGAATGGCCCCGTTGTCTTCTGGGACCTGTCACGTGTCCCGCAAGACAACGGGGAGGGAGGGTAGGAGGACAACCTTCTCTTACGATCGCCTAGGTGATCGCAGCGGAAGTGGGAGCGTTACCTGTCAATTTCGGGTACCCGCTCCCCCCAAAGATGCCAATCCTTAATGGGGAGCGGGTGACCAATCTTTAAAGCGAAACTTCCCTTTTTGGGTGGAACTCCGCTTTAAGGGTTTTTTTATGTGGTATTTGCCAAGCTTTTTTGTTATTTGCGGTAAATCCCACATGATAGCAATAGTGAATTGACATTTTCAGTATTGCATGCAATAATCTTTAGTGAATTGTCTCCATTGAGTGATCCCAAATCTAGAGATAGTTAACGAGGCAACTTTAACCAGACAGTTGGCCCAGATCCCCACAGCTATGTCTGGATGAAAAAGAGAAGCATGGAGTATGTAGTTTCTGACCTCGGTATGCATTATAAGGCTTAGGTTTAAATTTTGACAGCAGTGTGCCTTTAAAGCAAACCTGGGAAATACATGGCCTGCTTATCTTGTAACCCCCATGTAAAAACACTAAGTGAAAACAATTAAAGAAAAAATTGGAAGAAAAATTTGTACAAAATATGTGTCCTTACACCTTAGCTTAGATTGCCTCCTACAAGTGATGTCCCTGGGTTTCACCATGAGACCCCAAATCGTGCAAGAAGATATTCCAACACTGTGAAAGTGCATTCTCACAAGCTTTAGGTGGCAAGTGCTTCTAGCAAAAGAGTATTTTTTTTTCCATTTTTTGGTAATGTTTTATTGCTTTCGCTAAATGTTTCTGCAGGTCTGCTTTATCAGCCAAAGTCTTGATTGTTCCACAGGAGTATCAAGCTGCTGAAATATTAGCGCTTATACTCTACATGTTTTCCCGTGATCCTTTACTATTAAAAACAATGGATGATGTTGTGCAAGAGGACAGTCATCTCTTCCAGATCTGACCATGATGACTACTCTCAGCAGCAGGCAAACAGTTAATGACACACCAGCTGCAGTAGAACTTTGTCCTGCTGGTATATATTCAGCATCTCCCACCTGTTTCCTCTGCAGGCAGACACAGGAGAGAATCTCTCTTCCTTCTTCTTTTCACACTCAGGAAAGGTCCATTTATTCTCACTCGGCAGACTGTAACCATTTCCTGACCAAAAAAAACCCAAGACCTGACAGAGCTTCCTGTGTGGTGACAGCAGGCCAGCCGCTCTGTCTTTCTTCTCCAGGAAACTGGGCTGACTTTGGTCAACGTCACCAGAGCACATTACGAAACTGCTCCGAGGTCGACACCAAATTATACTTTAAAAGAAAGCTGGAATTACAGTGCCTTGAAAAAGTATTCATACCCCTTGACTTTTTCTACATTTTGTCATGTTGCAACCAAAAACGTAAATGTATTTTATTGGGATTTTATGTAATAGACCAACACAAAGTGGCACATAATTGTGAAGTGGAAGGAAAACGATAAATGGTTTTCAAAATTTTTTTTTTACAAATAAATATCTGAAAAGTGTGGCGTGCATTTGTATTCAGCCCCCCCGGAGTCAATACTTTGTAGAACCACCTTTCTCTGCAATTACAGCTGCAAGTCTTTTTGGGGATGTCTCTACCACCTTTGCACATCTAAAGAGTGAAATGTTTGCACATTCTTCTCTGCAGAATAGCTCAAGCTCTGTCAGATTGGATGGAAAGCGTCTGTGAAAAGCAATTTGCATGTCTTGCCGCAGATTCTCAATTGGATTTAGGTCTGGACTTTGACTGGGCCATGCTAACACATGAATAGGCTTGATCTAAACCATTCCATTGTAACTCTGGCTGTATGTTTAGGGTCGTTGTCCTGCTGGAAGGTGAACCTCCGCCCCAGTCTTTTGCAGACTCTTAACAGGTTTTCTTCTAAGATTGCCCTTTATTTGGCTCCATGTTCCCATCAACTCTGACCAGCTTAACTGTCCCTGCTGAAGATAAGCATCTCCACAACATGAAGCTGCCACCACCATGTTTCACGGTGGGTATGGTGTGTTCAGGGTGATGTCCAGTGTTAGTTTTCCACCACACATAGCGTTTTGATTTTAGGTCAAAAAGTTCAATTTTGGTCTCAACTGACCAGAGCACCTTCTTCCACATGTTTGCTGTGTCCCCCATATGGCTTCTCACAAACTGCAAACGGGATTTCTTATGGCTTTCTTTCAGCAATGGCTTTCTTCTTGCCACTCTTCCATAGAGGTCAGATTTGTGAAGTGCATGACTAACAGTTGTCCTGTGGACAGATTCTCCCACCTGAGCTGCGGATCTCTGCAGCTCCTCCAGAGTTACCATGGGCTTCTTGGCTGCTTCTCTGCTTAATGCTCTACTTTCCCGGCCTGTCAGTTTAGGTGGACAGCCATGTCTTGGTAGGTTTGCAGTTGTGTCATACTCTTTCCATTTTCGGATAATGGATTGAACAGTGCTCCATGAGATGTTCAAAGCTTGGGATATTTTTTTAGAACTAGAAATGCCACTGTTTCCTTACAGAAAACAAGATTCCTAACCTATACTATGTTGGCAGAGGACATGTTTTTTTACTACTCAGGCCTTGGCGGTTTTCTAAAGAAAACTGCAAGACTTCAACACCTTTTATTTAAATGCACCGTTTATCGGCTTTAATCTTGATTTGAGTTTAGATTTAATATGTTAAATCTTATATAAGATGCTTTTGACTGTGTTCTGAGCTACTTTAACGCAGCAAAGTGTAGGTCAAGTAGATGACTTTCATTTTTTTTATTAAAAAAAAATGCGACTTGTAGACAAACGTAAAGTGTACAAGCCATTGCATGCAATAAAGCTGCACAAAACTGCATACGATGCAACTTTGAATTCCAGCCTTGACTGGTTAAACTCAGCGGGTTAAACAGCTTCCCATCAGTATTCTGAATAATAGATTGGAGATCTTGAATGCTCAATGATGGCCAATGCCATCCCTAAATCTGACAAAGCAGATAAGAAAGGGGTAAATGTCTGCCACTCTGCTTCTGTGAGGCATTACAGGAATTTGTGTCAGAATCTTGGTATGTAATCACCTTTTCACCTCATCTGTACCTGCCATTCTTGTTGTCCCAAGCTCCAGAATGTCAACAATGTAGACATTTAGTCATTTCTATTTTGGTGTGGTGACAGGCTTCCCTCCAGAAAGAGGTCATGGGGTGCCCTGTGGGGGGTATGTATCTTTCTATGAAACAAGTCAGCATGGTTCCAGGAAGAGCGCAGGATAAGCTAGGAAGGATGACTTTGAAGAGAAAATGGCTGCACAGCAGGGCCTGCCCGAACAAATCAAGGGCCAGGCTTTTTTATCCAATTCTAAGACTCTGTGAATTCAGCATACCAAATAATCAATACAGGAATTCAATTATAGCATTGTTACTAGTCCCTATAGTCTGGAGTACTGTGCATAAAGCTAAGGAAACTATAAGGTCCCATATTTATAACAAACACACATAAGGGCCATTGCAGTTCTTCTGGCCTAGTAACTCAACCACAGTTCAGCCAACATGCAGTGTTTTTTTTCAGTGCAGCCCAGTGTGCAAGAACACTAAACTAAGGAAAGGTTCTATGTATATGAGGTTTATGTATTTGATGTAATTCTTGCTGCTCTCACAAGTAGGGTCCTCCTAATTTTCTCCTCTTGAATTGTATTGTAACTGTACTGTCTTCCCCTTACATAGTAAAGTGCTGCATAAACTGTTAGCACTATATCAATCCTGTATAATAAAAATATGTCTTGAAAACGGCAAACAATTCTGACAGATCGCTAAGGGTCACAGCATTATTTTGCAAAAATACCAAAGAGCTCAGCTATGCAAAGTGTGCTGACAAGTTTCCTGTTGACAATTGCATTCAATACGTTCTAGGCAGTCATTTCTGCAGGAAAATGTTCCTTAGTCACAATGTTTGAAAATTAAAAAAAAAAAGACTGGGTGCTATATGCAAGAACAAATGTCCGTGTTAGTAGACTTTTCATGCTTAAAGGAGAAGTACAGCAAAAGCTCATTTGCTGTACTTCTCCTGTGGATCAAAGAACGCTGTCGACAGAGCCGGTCCAGGTTGGGGAGCCAGCTGCTCCCACCCCCTTCACAGTCCAGCACCCCAGAGTGACAAGGAGAACTGCATGATCAGTGGTGTCTGATCGCTCGGTTCTCACAGTTAAGAGTCAGCGGGGGGGACAGGTGCAGCATTGGATTGATGCTGTATCCACCTAGGTAAGTATGATTTAAAAAACAAAACAAAACACATACTTTTTTTAAAGCATATGTAAATACAAAAACCTAAATGTAATATATTGCAGCTAACCAGTCCTTAGGAGTGGTTTCTGCATTTGCTTTTAACACTTCAATTAT